GTTTAGGGATGTTGTTGCTGTTGGCGGGACGCATCTGCACTAACTGCATCTTTAGGTGGAGTCAGGGTAGGGCCCCGTACCGTATGTACTGTGACTTCGGTTGTTGTTCACCTATTTTAGTGGTTTTGACACACTGAATAAGGGATAGTACTGTACAAGGTTTAGGCTTGGGACGCTTGAATTTATACCGCTCTCGTAAACACGTCTGTTCTGCAAGAGGATCTGACGAGTACAAGTTCATTAATTGCTTTTATAAATTAACGCATTAAAGCACAAAATCTATAAAATATAAACACACAATTTTTAAAACATTTTCGGAAAGCCGGATAATATTCTATCAAATACTTCACAGTTGTTGCGACCTCACTATGTCAGTGTCAAGTCAGTTATGCGGCTCGCCAAAAATGATTATATATTGTATGTCATAGATTTTGTGTTTCAACGCCGTAGTTTAGAAAAGTCATTCATAAATCAGACGGACGTTATTTTTTGTATTCTGAACATAACTGATCTTAGATGTTTGTGGCCGGAATGATGTCATGGTCACAATATATTGTTTAACATAGCAACTAATCTCATTGTCAATTTTGTGATCGAAAAGATTTATGACGGTCACATATGTATTTGGCAAAGGCTTTTTACGCCTGATGAAGGTGTTTTTGGTGTGATTTCGTGATTATAAAGATACAACATAGAAATAATTAATATTAATATATAAATAAGGGAGGGGGAAAACGGGGAGAGAGAGGGACTAGGAGAGGGGGATAGAAAGAGGGAGAGGACGAAAGGGCGAGGATGAGAGAGAGAGCTCAGCTCCTTATTGATCCCACTGTATATTTGATAACTCCGTTATGGTGCTCCCGCCTATTGGTTGCATGGCATCGTTACGATCTATTGGTCGGTTGTCTATTTTCTACCCAGTTTTATGCTCCAGGTTAAACATTGCAGATAATGACTATGTGAGGGCTTCGCACCTATCACGTTTATAACTCTACACTCTTGAGAGTTTGTACGTGTATTTGGAGCGAAAATATATTGAGTTTCTTAACTAGGTTGGGGTTTTGTACCTACTGCGGTTGTAACGCTACTCTCTTAAGCGCTTACGTATATATTTGGCGCGAAACTCTACCGAGTTTTCTAGGCCACTGGCTGCTAAACCCTTTTGACGTACGAGAGAAATTCGTAAACTGGTGCAGGCAATAGTGGACCAAATATTTGACGTATATATGTCTTTTACAGCCAACGAGTTTATAACTAGCTGAGGGTTTTGAGCCTACTGCGCATAAAACGCTATGCTCGATTCGCGAAACTGTATCGAATTTCTTTATTTCTCCCGGTTAGAAAAAGCTAGGCGCCTCTGTCGAAATGCGATCGGTCGGTCGTCTATTAGCGTGATTTTCAATTCCGGTACCGGGTCTATGTCATCGAAGCCCCTGAGAAACATACTTTGTGTTATGGAGTTTCTTCGATTTCCTCACTACTTCAAACGCTGCCTCGAAATCGGCGTTCACTTCCTGTTTAGATTTAATGAAATTCTGGACATCATCTATTGCCATGATCTGCGCAAGATCGCTCCTTTCCGATGCGTTAAATTTATTCACAGTCTTTACATTCTCGCCTAATTCGATTGTCATGACGGCTTTCGGGAAAAATTGCGCCCAAGCAACGCGATGCACGTTGTCGTCTCTCTCGGGACTGCTAAAGAACCGCAACTCTATTTCGACGCCTTCAACTTCGAAGGCGCTCGTAAACACGCCTTGTATGCGGGCAATCGATTTGTTCATGCGCACAAAATATTGCCGTTAAGCAGCACGAGCTCGTGAAAGTTCACTGGTACGTACGCGCCCCTGATTAGACTTATCGGGGATCGTGGATCGACGACGGTGTTTATCGAATGAATGCAACTATCGCTCTTTAAATGGAGAACTGAAAAATTTATCTGGTCGTAATACGAATTGCTCACTTGTGTTGGTTTGGTCATGTTTGTCACACTTGCTGGTGTCGGCTTTGATTCTTCCTCTGGGTAATTTCTTTTCGGGGGACTGACTATCAGGTGGCCAGATTGAGTTGGTTTGGTCATGTTTGTCACACTTGCTGGTGTCGGCTCTGATTCTTCCTCTGGGTAATTTCTTTTCGGGAGACTGACTATCAGGTGGCCAGATTGACTTGGTTTGGTCATGTGTGTCACACTTGCTGGTGTCGGCTCTGATTCTTCCTCTGGGTAATTTCTTTTTGGGAGACTGACTATCAGGTGGCCAGATTGAGTTGGTTTGGTCATGTTTGTCACACTTGCTGGTGTCGGCTTTGATTCTTTCTTTGAGTAATTTCTTTTCGGGAGACTGACTATCAGGTGGCCAGATTGAGTTGGTTTGGTCATGTTTGTCCTTTGGGTAATTTCTTTTCGGGAGACTGACTGTCAGGTGGCCAGATTGAGTTGGTTTGGTCATGTTTGTCACACTTGCTGGTGTCGGTTTTGATTCTTCCTCTGGGTAATTTGTTTTCGGGGGACCGACTATCTGGTGGCCAGACCCACAGCACTTGCAACACTTTACCGCCCTTCTCCGAGACGGCGAATTCTCGTTCGTCGGCGTTGAAGTTCCTGCCGATGTCATTGGATTTTTTGCCGACAGCGAACCACTGTTGAATTCCTTGGATGCGCTTTTTGCGAAAAGGCTATATGTATGTCTGTCAATGTAAAATGCTAATGTAGGGTAACCGTCGTCGCTTTAGTCGTACAATTCCAGGTATGGCCGATGTAATTCATTGATAAAGAATAAAAAACATTGAGTTCAATGTCAAGCACGCTATTGATATATATTTGCAAGCGTCCTTGAAAAACGCACTAGGTTGAAATCTATATCCTTGCAGTAAACATTTCGTACGAACGAGTGTCCTCGAAGTATACGCCATTTATCGGATTTTCGGGGTTTCAACAATAAGTTCAGCATTTAATTTGCGATATTGCTGATTCGGGTACATTTAAAAAAATTCCTGATTTTTACTTAACTTTTTTAGCTGATCAGGCGCTCATTTCTTTTTCTAAAGAAATGAAGAAAGTAGATTCCCATTTCACCACTGTTGAAATCTCGATCCTTGGCGTATGGAACTCTGTAGCGTTTCGTTCGAGCTCAAGCGCGCAGGGCGCATTTCTCTTAGCACACGACCTTGTGAGTTTCTCGCTCAAAAATGTATTTAGCTCGAAATTCTACCGAGTTTCTTCATGTGGGAAGTGAAATCGTTGGGGGGTGTATTCTCCGAATTGGACGTACCGATTCGTTTTAAATTTTACCACGTGAATATGTATGCCCTACGGTAGGTCCTGATACTCATGAAATTTCATTTTTCATTCAAAATTTATTTATTTATCACGACGTTGAGTTTCTCCCTCAAAAATGTATTTAGCTCGAAACTCTACCGAGTTTCTTCATCTGGGAAGTGAAATCGTTGGGGGATGTATTCTCCGAATTGGATGTACCGATTCGTTTCAAATTTTACCACGTGAATATGTAGGCCCTAAGGTAGGTCCTGATACTCATGAAATTTCATTTTTTATACAAAATTTATTTATTTATCATGGGCTAGAACCAACATGGCGTGGCTCGTGCACGCTTTCGATGTTTCACGTCTCTTAGAGACTTAGAATCGAAAATGAAGTGTTTCAAGACCGAGCTCGAACAATTTAAAATACCATAGAAATGGAATATTATAGAGTCAGATGGGTGAATATGCAAAACACTTTCACAAACAATTGCAAGAGAATACTGGCTTGTCCTGTGGTAAACACTTGTTTTTAGAGCGAAAATTTAGTTGTAGCTAAACGTCACAGATGGCGACGTTCGTCCTAAACAATTGTTATAATAATGAATTCCCGAAATTTCGACAGCTTTACATAGACCTTTTTATCAGTACTTTACTGAAATGACACATGGAACGCTTCAGTTCGTATAATTATCAATGTAGACTGTAAAAGACATCAACATAAATATAAATGTCGGTAACGGGACGCGCCAGCTTATGTTACCACTTGAGTATTTAAAATGACGTCACCACCAAAAAGGGTATAGATGAATTTTAATTTATCGACCTGCGGTAAAATCCTCAGCACCTTTTATATCATCTTAACGTTTCCTTGGGAGAAACAATTAGCGCCAATTTTTCTATCGGACATGCGAATTTATCGAGATAATGAACAATAATAAATGGAGCAATTTATCGTTGTCGTGAGTACCTATAAATTCATCGAACGATGAATTTTAATTTATCAACCTGGAGTAAATTTCTCAGCGTCTTTTATATCATCTTAACGATTCCTTGGGAGAAACAATTAGCACCAATTCTTCTATCGGACATGCGAATTTATCGAAATAATGAACAATAATAAATGGAGCAATTTATCGTTGTGAGTACCTATAAATTCATCGAACGATGAATTTTAATTTATCGACCTGGAGTAAATTTCTCAGCGTCTTTTATATGATCTCAACGATTCCTTGGAAGAAACAATTAGCGCTAATTTTTCTATCGGTAAATTTCTCGGCGGAGTAAATTATCGAAGTAAATTTCTCAGCACCTATCATATCATCTTAACGATTCCTTGGGAGAAACAATTAGCACCAATTCTTCTATCGGACATGCGAATTTATCGAGATAATGTACAGTAATAAATGGAGCAATTTATCGTTGTCGTGAGTACCTATAGATTCGTCTAAGTGAATTGGCTCATCCGATTAGCTCGCGGCATGTTGCGGTAATGGATTCGCGATTGGACGCGGGCCGCGTGTAATCGAGTCGGCAATCGATCGATGCCCGATCGCGATCATCGCGAATCGATTAGCGCGACACGCTAAAATGACTGAGCCGCCGTATTTCTCCGTGTTACAGACTTTCTGCGTGGTCTCGAAGAGGTTTCGCAAGAACTACATCCACAGGTTCACTGCGACGAACAGCTGGTTCATCTTCTCGCCGTGGAACCCGATAAGGCGGTGCTGCATCTTCCTCAGTACGAACCAGTACTTCGATTACGTGGTCATGGCCACCATTATACTTAACTGTGGCTTCCTAGCCATGACCGAAACCGTCGAAGAAGCCGAGTAAGTCAATACTACCTTAGTCCTCGTGTGATCAAAATCGATTATATTAACACCCCCAGTTTGTTTCCTTTACAGCATACAGAAAAAATTGAAACACTAAAGTCCTTACTCATACCTCACCTTTAGCGTCGAAACACGTATTTTGGAGCACTGTTGAAAGCGACCCTACTCTAGTCTCGCTTTAAAACCAGTTTTATAGAAAATCCTTAAAAGCAGCCATAGAAGACGTATTTTAGTAGCAATACCTCTTCATACCCCCTTTTAAGGTGACGTAAAACCCCATTCAAATCAGTCGATTCGAATTCAACACTTTTTTTTAAGAGTCTTGAGCCACCCTGTCCGAAACTTTGTCACATGACTCGGGATCATCTAAGAAATGTCCTGACATATTCAAAATTTGGATTTTTCAAACAAATTTGTTAACTGAGCCCAGACAAGAACCAAAATGGCGTCGAGCTCTCATATTTCGATCAATATACAATTATCGAAGGCTCTGATATGAGAAACGAAAGGGTCAGGACAATTTTACGACAATTTGGAACACTCTGGTAATCGATACACTCGCATTTGAACGGGATGAAGGCGAAAAAAGTGTTGTATGCGCTTCTATGCTAAAACGATGGGAATACGAGGTCTCGGAGTGAAAGTTTCATTGACCTTAATACCAGTTTTATAGAAAATCCTTAAAAGAAGCCATAGGAGACGTATTTTAGTAGCAATACCTCTTCATACCCCCTTTTAAGGTGACGTAAAACCCCATTCAAATCAGTCGATTCGAATACAACACTTTTTTTTAAGAGACTTGAGCCACCCTGTCCGAAACTTTGTCACATGACTCGTGACCGTCTAAGAATTGTCCTGACACATTAAAAATTTGGATTTTTGGAAAAAATTTGTTAGCAGCCCAAGCCAGAACCAAAATGGCGTCGAGCTCTCATATTTCGATTAATATACAATTATCGAAGGCTCTGATATGAGAAGCGAAAGGGTCAGGGCAATTTTACGACAATTCGGAACACTCTGGTAATCGATACACTTGCATTTGAACGGGATGAAGGCGAAAAAAGTGTTGTATGCGCTTCTATGCTAAAACGATGGGAATACGAGGTCTCGGAGTGAAAGTTTAATTCACCTGGAAATCACAGATGGCGTAGGCGGTCTCTCTGCAGTCAATTAGGGCCCCAGAAAACATGAATCCAGAGGATTTCTAGAGTTTTACTTCGATTTCTTTACAATTATTGTACGAAAACGACAGGTGGAGAATGCCATTGAGTACAATACCCAATATAATTCGACACGGCTGTCAATATAAAAACGAACGGTTTAAATCATTGGAAATCATGTGATATCCGTGGGAAATCGTTTTGATACAAAAAACATCGGAAAACGAATTTTGGAAATCAATGTAAATAATTGGAAATCATTGGAAATCATTGGAAACCATCGGAAATCATTGGAAATCATTGGAAATCATTGGAAATCATCGGAAATCATTGGGAGTCATTGGAAATCGTTAGTAATCACTGGAAATCGTTGGAAATCGTTAGAAATCCCAGGCACGTAGTTGGAAATCATTGAAAATCGCCGAAACTTTAATACCGAAAGTGTTAATGCAGGAAATCACGAACTAATGAATAACATTATCAATTTTCGTATGAAATCAATTGCAATCACTTCTTAAGGAATTAAATCATTTTTATTGATTTCCAAGTGAATAGCCCCTCGCGCACGACGTTAACTTCCGATGGTTACACGAAATCGTATGAAATCAATTGTGCCCATAATTATGAAAGTGGTCTAAGTTATATATTTTTTGTTTCGAAATTTCATTGAATTAATTTCGTTTGAAATAATATGGCGTGAAATAACTGATAAACTCATTTTTTTTTTAATTTTGACTTAGACCACTTTCATAATTATGGGCACAATTGCAATCACTTCTTAAGGAATGGAATCTTTTTTATCGTTTTCCACGTGAATAGCTCCTCGCGCACGACATTTACTTCCGGTGGCTATACGAAATCGTATGAAATCAATCGCAATCACTTCTTAAGGAATGAAATCATTTTTATCGATTTCCAAGTGAATAGCTCCTCGCGCGCGACATTTATTTCCGGTGGTTACATGAAATCGTATGAAATGAATTGCAATCACTTCTTAAGGAATGAAATCATTTTTATAGATTTCCAAGTGAATCGCCCCTCGCGCACGACATTTACTTCCGGTGGCTATACAAAATCGTATGAAATCATTTGCAATCACTTAATGAAATCATTTTTATCGATTTCCAAATGAATAGCCCCTCGCGCGCGACATTTATTTCCGGTGGTTATGGCGATTTGTCGCGAGAACGCGCGACGATTATGTTACGTTGATTATAAATTCGTGGCAAGTAAAGCCCAAAAAGCTTCGTTATTCGCATAGGATCAGCAAGGGAACATGCTGCGCTCCTTGTAGGAATCAGTTATTCTAACAAGGGATGTTTCGAGCCCGTGAAAAACCACGGTAACATAGGTATTATATTAGTTAGCCCATACAAAATTATCGGTAGAAGGGTTTTTTACTAGGGTCTGTTAAACCCATTTCGCGGGGATAAAGGAGAGCGATCATACCGATTAGCGAGTAAAACGTGAGGTCGCATCGATTTCCCTCCTGTGCACCGCTGTATTTTCGCAATATTGTCAAGAAGGAAAGTGGAACGCGGTGTGTATGTGTGTGTGCGCGCGCGCGTGTAGATATTATAAATTTATGATTCTCGGTTCTATTTTTTCTTGGAATAAAATGATCCTCTATCTCAAAAAAAAATTCCCCCTTGCTGGAGAAAAATGGGAATAATTTTTCCTACCCAAAAAAGAAGTAGGACATCTCCCCCCGTATCTCTACGTGGGAATTTTAATTATACCAAAAAAATCCTGCGACATATCGGAAACAATTACGATTATGTGCTAATGGGTTAAAAAGGTATACAAGTAGGGGAGACCGAGGTCAAAGGTAACACGGGGCAATTGTAACAAACGTTATAAATTATTTGTTCCAACTTGAAAAAGCGTGGTTAAGCGGTGGAAGCTTTCCGTGGATACTAGGATTATCTTGCAGTCGTTTCATGTTTGTTATATCAGGCATTCTCCTGTTATTCGCATTTTTCGCGATACGATATAGGTCAGTAATATTTTTATGAGTGCAATATTTTCGATGTATATTAAACCCGCAGGGGATAAAATTGATTTAACCATGCCACAATAGTGCACCTCGTCATATGTTCAATGCATTTGAAAATAGACTGGCTCTAAGCTTCTGTAATTGTATCAATTATTTCAAAAGAGCCATCGAGGATAATTGTACCAAGTCATACTATCACAAATGTCACATGGGACATTTGACCCCGATCATCTACGTTCCCACGAATAAATTCGATACAATATAATTCTTGCAGATTCTTTGAACATGCCCCGTGTCCGTACAAAGATATCGAACCGAAATTCATCTGGGGATATCATGAAACGTGTTGCAAATTTAATTATGAATAAAAGTCGCAGGCAGAAGAGGGTAGTCAAAGATTTCAAAATTTGTCGTGTGACTTCAAATAGGTACGTAAGAAGTCTACAGGAAAGGAAGGAAATGGTTATGGGGTACAAACCCCATAACAAAATTTTATCTCATGAAGATGAATAGACTTTTTGTGAATGTATTCATAAATCTGCAGATTTACATTTCGGATTAGTTCCAATGGATATACGTAGCCTTGTACATCACTAAAAGTAAAATGGATCAATCTGGATTTAATGCTCTCAATGTAAGAAATTGTCCCATGGAAAGTGCATCAGTAAAACGGAAAACAAGATGGACCATTTCTACTTTTACCGTTCGAAATGTATTGCTAATTAAAAATGTGACATATTTATATTAATTTTTTTTATATGTATTCTATATAAGTAACTTTTGTTGTGTTCATCCATATTTACCAAAACATAGTTATTCGCTATAGTTATTTGAATATTCTTGTATTAATCGGAAGCATTACATTTGCCCCGACGGAGGTTACAACTGTACCCTGGAACGGTTGCAAATGTAACAAATACATTGAGTAGAGAAAACAAAATTGCTGTTTTTTATAGAATCTTGAAGCGTTCAAATGTAGGCTGTCTTTCAGAGGAAGGTTCACTCAATATATTAATCAAGTTTCGATCATAAAGAGCTGTTGCAATTAATTGCAGAAATAAAAACGTAAAAATTGTTACAATTGACCTCGGTTTCCCCTACTGTACGCATAATAGCCGTTCCCTAAGAGAATTTCTGCACGGTTGATTAAAATAGGAAAGTAGTTTGCGTTACTAGTAATTCGACATTTTTTTTTCTTCTTTTTTCGCCACGTGAGGGCATTCAAAACTCCACCTAACGATGCCGAAAAATCGACCAATTTCAGGGATTCATGAATTCGAGGTAAAGCGGGAGACAACGCGATGGAAGTTCGCAACGATTTTTGGATCATCCTTGTTCCTTATCAGGAACACTGATGCAAGGGAGTGATAGGAGACTCCCAGAAGCGGACTGTATCATAATTTTCTATTACTTTGTCCCCAGGTACATCTTCCTAGCCATCTACACCGCGGAAATGGTGATGAAATCGATAGCCAAAGGTTTCATCCTGAACAAGTACACGTATTTAAGGAATCCGTGGAACTGGTTGGACTTTGTCGTGATAACTAGTGGTTACGCTACCATCGGCATGGAGGTTGGCAATCTGGCTGGGCTCAGGACTTTCAGGGTGCTGAGAGCACTCAAAACGGTCTCCATTTTGCCGGGTAAGGAATATTTTAAGGAACAACATTAAGGAACATTAACATTTGCCTATCTTCCTTTAACATTCTGTAAGGAATTTCTTTAAACTTTCCGCACTGCATAAAATAACAGAAATTAATATGAATAACATGCCATGGGAATCGACTATCAGGAAGAGGACAACATTGTTTCCTTTTTAATCCTGCAAAATGCCCCAATTTACCATAAATATATATGTTTTTCTAATCGAAGGATTTGTGCGGATACATTCTTACAAAATGGCCATTTAGTGTTTATGCATGAGAAAAATCATATGAGTATAAAATCTCTTTCTCAAGATATTGGTACTTAGGGGAAAGTTGCCTAAATTAAACCGTCTCCTCAACTGAACCACTGTAATAAAACAATGTAGTCAGTCCAGAATCATCTAGCCGAGAATGAAAGTATCATTACATGTATTCTTTTGTGCCACTGACGTGCAATCCTACAACTCCAAATATGCAAATTATGTTTGTTTTAAGAAAATCCAATCCGTAAATGTCAAGTTTCATGTTTGTACTTACTATTACCTGTGAGAATTAACCAACTTAAGAATCTTGGTACTGTCTTATTTGCGAAAACCAGGTCTAAAATGCACTCTTGACAACGTTTACATTTTTTAGGTTTTTTTTAAATAGTTTTAATTAAATTTCACATTACGTTACATACTTTCATTCCTAATTAAAGGTATAAGATATTAACTTCCACAATGAATTTGATGAAAATCAATTATGTTAAATATGAAAAACATGTTTTTAAATAACTGGTATAATGCCTTGCTTTCTACCTTGGATTGTCAATGCATTCAGATATGCGTTGAATGCCAAGGATATTGTAAAAAACGTCATGAGAACGTTCCTTTAACTCCTTTGAAGAGTGTTGAATCATCCTATTTACTTTTCGGTAAAACGACACTAGGAAATATTTCTTCAAAAACAATACAAGAGCGCGCGATGCAGTAACGTGTTATCCAGGTCCATAGCAAAAAAAAAGTCTTGAGAGTCAACATGGGTTTTCTGATTCTGTAAGAATCTACTTAGACACCTTATTAAGAAACTCATTGTCAGTAGAGTTTCGCGTTATATATATTGTGACGTTATTTTTAATGGCATAACTCCCAAACAGAATTCTGGCAATTAATGTTCCGACCTTCTGGTGGAGTCACAAATAAATAATCTGAAAATAGGGTCTCCGTCTCCTATTTGCTCAACAGCAACAACATTTTTGGGCGCCAGGCCCTCCAAAGGGTCAATCCGGGCCCAATCCGTCGGGACTCGCATCAGTGTACGGGAGTCCACGCACCAGCGATGAGCCTCCCAACCCACCCACGGATTCGCACCAGCGTAAGAACCGAAGGGTCGGTCCCTCAGCTAACGGAACGCGAAAATTATCCTAAAGTCCCAGACACGTGACTATTGAACGGAAGGTAGCGATACAACGCACCAGCGATGAGCCTCCCAACCCACCCACGGATTCACGCCAGCGTAAGACCCGAAGAGTCGGTCCCTCAACTAACGAAACGCGAAAATTATCCTAAAGTCCCAGACACATGACAATTGAACGGAAGGTAGCGATACAACGCACCAGCGATGAGCCTCCCAACCCACCCACGGATTCGCACCAGCTTAACCGTTTGAGTGCCACGTGTCTTTGCTGTTTTCCCGTCCAAAAGTGCCAAGAAGCGCTTTTTCACTTGTCTTATTCCCTCTCCAAAAATGCCAAGCGGCGCGATAGCGCTTGTCTTCTTCCCCGATTAAAAATGCCAAGGAGCGGTATTGCGCTGTTTTCTGCTCTATAGGGAAAGCGGTAATGTTCAACTGAAATTAAAATTCGTTCTTTAACAGCTGTCTCATTCTTTTACTTTTACCTAAAATGGAATGGTAACCGTAAAGTCGCGCATCGACGGAAACCGAGCGTGTCGCGGTTATCGACTTCGCAACCTAGAACGCTGGCGCTGTTCGAGCGACACAGAAGAAGCGCAAAATCGCCCCTTGGCACTCACACGGTTAAGACCCGAAGGGTCGGTCCCTCAACTAGCGGAACGCGAAAATTATCCTAAAGTCCCAGACACGTGACAATTGAACGGAAGGTAGCGATACAAGACGCAGCGTCGCCGACAACGAAAATTAAGGGCGCTCACCACTCTAGCGATTTTGCAGGGCCTCATGGGGACAACGATTCCGAACGTATTTCTAAACCGATCGAGCTTAACGAGTGCTCATATCGAAGATGAAACGTTGGCCTGTGTTTATATAGGAGCGATTTTCGATAAGTGGTCATTTTCATATAAAAAGGTGCAACGACATAATTTCAATGCCCTTTTAACTAGGAAGGAGGTGCTCGATCGAAAATCGCTCCCATATAAACACACGTCTACATTTTATCTTTAAAACGAGCACTCGTTGAGCTCGATCGGTTGAGAAATACGCTCAAAATCGTTGTCCCCGTGGAGCACCTTTTTCAGGATTTTCGAGTTTCTCGCGAGGAATTTGGGCATTCCTTGGCAACCGTTGCCGACTCTAGGCGGAACGTCCAACTGGCGTGTGCGTGCGGCCGGGGGTCACCCACGTTTCGATGTCTAGTCCAGAGGCGTCTAGCCGTTGTGTGAGTCCTATACGTGCAAAATACCCACACATTTTTCGCCCGTTGCTAAACACCGCCCATTACGCGTCGCGTCTCCTTCATCCGAGCGAAAAAGTACGTTTTGGTTACCTCCCACCGAATTCGACGCTAATGCCATCTAGCGGTGGAAGTCGTCGTCCCCACTTTGGTGGTGAACGCCGTTAACCTCTTTTAGCGCACATGTAAATATGTAAAAATTGTTAAGGAATGCTTAATCTGACGCTTGTGTTTTTGACATTCTTTCGATTGGTTAAATCCTGTTTAATATGAAATTTCTCCCTGGATTTATTATCTAAAAATAGAAATACAAGGGCGTAATATACTTTGTACTCGCGTAGAAAACTAGAGATTTATTATACATTGTAATATGCGCGTAAAAAACCACGTATATTACATGACGTATTATACTTACCCAACCGTGGACGTTAGCCGGATATGTTGGAAGCGTTAGAAGGACGAAGGACGTTATAGGTGACTAAATTTTCATTGAGTAACGTATATTATTATACAGCCATAATTGAATGTTAAAATTTCATGTGCCACAGTTCGTTTCATTTCCGAATAATTTCGGAAAAGAGTGATTGAAAATTAAAATGAAAAAATAAAGGATCGCGGAAACACGAAAAGAAGGGAGGGGGGTCAACAGATAATAATGACTGACAACTGGCAAGAGAGTAATTAAAGGCTTGACGTTCATCCTGAAATCCGTTAGCCAATATGATCTTGAGTAGCACCTTGACTTACACTTGGTGACAATGGATTTTGTGAACCCTCTCGAGATCGAATCTCGGCCGCTATAAACGGCCCTGAATGAATACCTCCTAACGACCGTTTTCAAGTGGGTCACATGGACAGGACATATCCAAGAGACGACGTAGTATTACTAGGTCAACAGCATATCGGGACATGCACATACGTATGAACATGTGTCCCTCGCAATCGAATTGTCAATGCGTGACACTTCCATATCTTCTCGAGGGAAATTCCGGCTTTGAAGTCGAGCTTTACCGTGAGGTGTGCGGCGTTACATTTATTAGAAGAAATGAGATTCCGAAAACACTACAAGCCGGAGTCTAGGAGTCAGGGGGTCGATTTTGTATCTTTGGTAAAAGTGATTGCTTTCATCTCACCTAAGCTTATTCACTCGTTTTTTAATCTTCGGGAGATTTACAATTTGTATGTAAAATTGAGTATAAGTACTGAAAGTGAGCACCTTCCGCGAGTTTGTAATTATCACCAAGGTAAATGTATGAGATACTTTCGGTAAGAATACTCGATAAGAAATTCCGTGTTGAAATGACGAGATGTGAGAGAGAGGAACGATAGATATAGCGAGAGCGAGAAAGACAATGACAAGAGCGCGACATAAAAGATGCGGACGTAAAAGACTTAAGTCAGTAGAGGTTAACATGGTCCACCTAGCCATATCGATAATACTTGATGACAAATAGATAAAAGAAGGATGAAAAAATGAGACCTCGGTATATTTTAGAGTCAATTTTGTATGAGTAATGTTGACCGTAATGTTTATTACTAAAACGAATACTTTTTTATATTATTATATATCGCGGTACATTAGCAGTAATAAATATTTGTTGTTGCTCTGTAACATTCATTTTCATCTCTTCATTATGTCGCATATAAAACTTGCACTCACCACAATTTTTTGTTCGTACGATACGAAGGACGAATTGGATAAATTCAAACTGTTTTCAAGTGAAGAGATATATGTTACTCTTCCGCCGAAATCCTTTTCTCCCCATACTTTTAGTCTAGAGATTTCGCGAATTTTACTGGAGGATACAAAATTGGGTGAATAATTTCAGGTGAGATGAAAGTGCGAGAAATGAGTTCTCCTCCCAAAGATAACTGGCGTAGAGTTCTAAATCCAGTAAGTTACGTCAGAAACGAAGAGAAATTCCCGGTAACTTATCGGTAATTTCTCCAAAGCCTTTTTTATCGAGAAATTATGAGAATTTGAATTTTTCAACAGAGCGAACGAGAGGTTTCGATTAGCTATAGAGAAACATCGTAGAGGGGAATTTCCGTTGTACGTTCTCCGTAGCCAATCAAAACCTCCCATTCGCTTCGTCGCAGAATGAAATATCAGTTCATTTGAAACAAATCGCATAGAATTTTCCGTGAAGTTGTACATACGTGAATATTTTTAGCTGGAGGTAAATACGACCCTATACTCAATATTTTCTAATAGTAATTATTACTCTTTAGCTTGAACTTTGAAGTTGATTGAGAAAAAAAAAGTTATTTAAACGAAGAAACCTAAAGTATAAATAACAAAATTAACGTTTTCTTAAATTCTCAATGTTCCCGGTAACTTACGGTATGTTTCACAGTTACCTTC